CATATACCATAGTTGGACTGAAGTAGTTATAACTCAAATTGAAAATTTCGTAATGGATGGAGACTCTCATAGTGATGCTCAAAAGGGGCAGTTGTGTCGGCTGCCTCTTCATTCTCTTTAAATTACAAAAGAAAAAGGTCTTCGGAGTGTTTGACCTTTCAGCCTCAATACGTAATTGAAGGTAAGAAACAGTCGAAGGGCTATAATATCACCCCAAGCAATATCTGATCGGTGGTTAAATGCTCTAATATCATTGGGACCGTCGTATTGGTAGGTCAGGTCGAAAATGATCCAACTCATATTGATCTATTAAATCCATTTTGACCCATTTTCATACAATGTAAATTTAACCCAACCCTTACCCGACCCATACCCGACCCGATTCATATTACCAAAACACATTAATATTTAACTTGATTTAGGAATACCTATATCCACCCATTTAACCCACTTTAAGCTCTTCATGTGTATATCAAATTAAAAAAGCAAATTAAACAATAAAAAATTGGCAAATTAAATAAAGAAAGTAATGACCTATAAATTGAAATATTTATAAAAAACTTAAGGTTGACAAAATGGGTTCCATATCCATTTTGTGACTCAGATTTAATGAGCCCGACTTCGTATGGGTAACTCTTTTTTTTTTCTAAATGGATCATTAATGGGTTGAAAAAAAATAAAGCCAAAAAAAAGGTCATAAATGGGTCAAAAGCCCACACCCACACTCATTCAAGCAAGTTATTTCTGATTTAGCAATTAACATGATAATTAATAGTTAATTACTAGCTATAGGTCAATAGACAACCTCAGACGCGCACTCGCTGATATTGCCGCGACAGCGAACGACCTTGGTGTAGGGCGGTTCTACGCCTCTCAAGTACTTTATTATTATCCCCTAATAAATTTGAGCAAAGACATGAGAAATAGTCTACGGAAAATTTCAAATTAGGGCCAAAGTATCTTCATTTTCTTAAATAAAAGCCTAAAGTGCAATTATTTTCTCAAATAAGGGCTAGAAGTGAATTTTGTTCAAATAAGAGCATGAAGTAACCATGTCAGTTTCAAAGAATGACCTATTCTTTGGTTTTTTTCTTTTTTTTTCCCTTCTTTTCTTTCTTTTTTCATTTTCTATTTTTTTTCTTCACTTTTTGTCGGTGGCTAATCTCAAACAATGGTCGGTGATACCCGGAGAGGGTCGGGCGAGGCCGCCCTTGAAAAGCCACAAGTGAGGGTCGCCCACCGACCCTAGCCCAAGACTCGAATTTGTGTAAAAATAGAGTCCTTTGCTAATTCCGTCCAATTTGACTAACCAAAAATATTGACATTGTTTATTTTTAATTTTATCTCTCCCACGTGGCGTGCTATGTGGCATTAAGGTTAACTAAAGTACTAAAAAGACATCGTTTTGATATGAATCCTAATTTTTTAAAATTTGATAAAAAAATCCAAAATTTTTTTCCATAAAAAGACAAATTCAAAAAATAAAAAAAAGCTAAAACTACAAAAATAACAATAAAACACACACACCGCCTGGTCTTCTTTTTGTTTTTTTTCTAAGTTTGAGCTTTTTTTTCTTTTGAAAAAATATATTTCTTAAGTTTTAATCTAATTTAACTAAAATTTAGGTGTCTTTGGACAAAAATGCACTTCACCGATTGGAAATTTAGCTAATCGGTGAGATTAGACCCTTATTTAAAACTGTTATGGTCACTTTAGACTCTTATTTGGAACTATCATGGCCACTTGAGGCCTCTTTTTTTTTTTTTTAAACGAGATTTATTTAAGGCCTTTATTTGAAAAAATGATGGCTCCCTTATTTGAAATTTTCCCAATAGTTTAATATCCCCTAATAAAAACTCGTTTCAAAGAAAGAAAAAAGCCCTAACAAAAACTCGCAGTCCCTTGCGCTCTCTCTCTCTCTCGTTCGCAAGCTGCACTTGATAGCTTCTTAGAACTCTGTTGCTTTCTTCTAATCAATCTCACGCCCTTGTTTGTTCCCTCCATTTCTTCAACCTCGATCTCTTCGTCGCGCTTTTGCACTAATTCAATCGAGCTCAATCGTCGATCCCAGGTCGTGCTCTTCACTTGGCATGATACTCCCCCTTCGCCTCGCATTCCTGATTCGTGCGGGGTTGGTGCCCGGGAGGAATTTTTGGGTTCCAAGTTAGGGTTCCGGGTTGGGATTTGATCCGAGTTCGGAGGATTCGAAATAGCCAGGCTAGTCTGGTCTCAGCTTTCGAACTCGGAGGATGGCAAGTTCGAGCGGTGAGCATTTCAAAAAAGAGCAACGGACTTTGGAAAATAGGTTGAAATATTTAGTGACCCATTTATGGATTTTATTTTTTCTCAACCCATTTTTGACCAATTTAGAAACAAACGAGTTATCCAAAATTGGGCCCACTAAATCCGAGTTCCTGACCAAAGAAAAAATCTAAGTTACAAAATGGCTATTTTGCCAGCCCTAAATATCACGCACATGTTACTTCAAACACAATCCAAAAAAAAAAGTAAAGTAAAAACTCTCCCCTCACTCATCGTTCTCTCTCTCGGGTCTAAGCGTGAACTCCATCCCACCATCATCACTGCCGTCCACCCAGCCGCTATGTCCACACCATCTTTGGAGCTTGTTTACAACGCATCGGTCCTTAAAGGATAAAAACACTAGGAGTGTTATAATTTTTATACGGTGTTTATTTAAATGCTATAAATTTTTTTTCACTTACTTGAGTGCCACAAATTTGAAAAAACGATCACTCAAGTGCCACAAATTTGAAAAAATGGTCACTTAAGTGACATCGGCGATTTGCTTCGCCGGAAAATTCGACGTGGACGCTGGTCGTCCGACATGGCTTCGCCGGCGCTGACGTGGATAATTTTTTAATATATTTTTGGAATTTTCATTTTGATTTTGATTTTTTATTTTTTTGGGAATATTTTGAATTTTTATTTTCCTCTTTTTTTAGCTTTTTTTTTTAATGCCGCGCGAGGGTCATCGGCAACCCTTGCTGGCTGCGAAGCCCTCGCCTAGATGGGGGAGGGCCGCCTTGCCCTGCGTCACGAAGGCTCGGGCAAGGCCATTGCGGCCTTGCCGGCAATGGTCGAGGCCGTCGCCAAATCTGGGCGGCCGCAAGCAAGGTGTCGCTGCCAGATCTGGCGAGGCTGCCGGCAAATTTGGCAACGGCCTTCACGGCCTTGTCCATTGCCGGTGAGGCCGTGATGACCTTGCCCGGGCCTTCAAGGTGGAGGGCAAGGCGGCCCTCGCCGGCAGTGGGCGAGGCCGCGAAGGCCGTCGCCAGATCTGGGCGGCGGCTGGTAAGGCATTACAGCCAACGCCGCCTTGCCCGCGGCAGCCTAGAGTTGGCAACGGCCTTCGCGACCTCGTCCACTACCGGCAAGGCCGCGATGGCCTTGCCAAAGCCTTCATGGCGGAGGGCACGGCGGCCCTCACCCATTGGGCAAGGGCTTCGCAGTCGGCGAGGGTCATCGGTGACCCTCGCCAGCCTTGAAAAAAGAAGAAAATTAAAAAAGGAAAAGAAAAACAAAAACTAAAAATTAAAATAAATAAAATTCAAAAAAATAATAAAAAACATTTAAAAAATTACATCGGATGGAAAATTAATTAAAAAAATCATGTAGGACAATTTGCCAGAAGTGGCACTCAAATGATTTATTTTACTTTGATGTGGCATTTAGTGAGCGAAAAAAAATTATGGCACTCAAGTGAGCGCCGTACAAAAGTTATGGCACTGCTGCTGTACTTATCCCGGTGTTTAATTACTTCTCCAGTTTACTAGAAGTCTGAGTTGGTGCGAAATCTTGACCGACTTTGTTAGGAAACAAAATCCCAACAAACTTTCGTATTTGGATTCAAATTCTTCTTGAAGGCCACGTTTTTTTTTTTTTGGTCAAGGAAGGCCACGTTCACTTGATATCCTACATATGTATAATGAGAGATGACTTTTTTGGTATTTTATGCCTCTTTTAGCCGCACAACTCTAAACTCGATGATTTCCGCAGCATATCTAATTTATGTCATTTTCTTTGTGAAGAAGTGAGTGTTTCAAGGGAAAAAGTCATACAAAATCCCAAATCATGGCCACTGTGATACATTCATACCTAAATTTTTTTTATGTGACATCAAAAACTCCAAACTATGCTCATTGTGACACATTTACTCTACACTTTTTCTTGTGACATAAAAAATCCCAAACTTGTACTTATGTGACACATTTATCCTCCGTCAAGATTTCGTTAAATGATTTTTCAGCTAAAATAACGTTCTTTTTTTACACTTAAGTCACGTGGGTGCCATGTCAACACTATTTACTTTCTGGCATTCATGTAGACAGATTTTTAATGGTTCTAATTTAGGATTTTGATGGAGGATAAATGTGTTACATAGATACAGGTTTGAGATTTTTTTTTTGTCATAGAAAAATATTTAGATTTAATGTGTCACGATGGGTAAAGTTTAGGGTTTTTTTGTGGCTTTTGCCCGTGTTTCAAACAGCGAGGTAATTCTATGTGGCTTATTTTATCAAGCATTTACGCGAGGCTAAACAATGTGGGTTTGGTCAGCTAGGAAACACTGAGTAAATTTTTTTTTTGGGTCAAAACGAAAGTGCTTTCATTTAACTAGGAAAAACAAATGGCCCCACTAAATGGGCTTCCGAACATAATAGATCCAAAAGAGTAAGACGAGGAGATACAATCCAATTAGAGGGAAGATACTTGCGTTCGTAAGCTTTTGTAGCCTAGTCAGCAACAAAATTAGCCTCCCTTCTACAATGCTGGATCTGGAGTTTCGTGAATGATTGGAGCAAAGCTGTGCAGTCAAAGAGAAATCCACATATCTCCTAAGGAACAGAACTAGAATTGAGTATCGCATTTACTACCAACAGGCTGTCTGACTTGACTATTATGTTATTAGTTTCTTTCCTTTTCTGAATCAAAAAGTTGAGGGTTTGAGAAAGTGGCAGCTCCTCAACCTGCAAAGATGACAAAGCTTGGACATTCCAGGTGTGGCCATCAATCAATCGTCCTTTGTGGTCGCGGCACACACAGGCCACAACTCCCTTCGCTGCTCACATCAAGTAAGCACTATCTATATTTACCTTCAGAGTTTCAATTTTCAGAGGAAGCCAAGTCTAGGAGGAACCATTGTAGGCATGTGTGCTGCTGGTGGTCTGCAGATCCCAGGAATAGGAGATTCTTGAGGTGGCGAGCGCTGAATCCACCGTAAACACCGGATCTAGGTTTAGTTTCCTGAATGTGAAATTATTCCACGCCTTCCACATTTGCCAGAGGACCGAAGCAACTACCTCCAGATCTGCTAGCCACACTTTAATTCATGATAAACCCTGTAATGGAATTTGGATGCTAAGCTGCAAGTTTGCCCAAACTTCTCGTGTCCATGGACATTGCAAAAGGAGATGCTCCGTCCATTATGGGATGCCATCGTGGCACAAATCACATACCGAGTCAGGTGGGATTTTCTTTCGGAAGAGATTGTCCTTCGTGGGTAGGGCATTTTGACAAAGAGACCACACGAAAAAATTTAATTTTGGAAGCAGTTCTCATTTTCCATATGCCTCTCCAAAGGCTGCGTGGTACTTGGAAAGAGGAGGAAGCTAAGATATGGCTGTTGTTTTGTTCTGCCACCCTTAAGCAATTGTAACCACTTTTAACTGCATATTTATCTATCTGTGTCCCTATACAGATGATCTGGTCTGATATTGCTTGGGGTCTAACCGGTATTGATAGGATTTGCTTCACTGTTTGATCATCGAAACTGTTTCTCACAAGTTGAGTGTTCCATGTTTTCTCCTCTTGATTTATAGAATTAGCCACCAGCTTTGGTTCTCCTCTAGGAATTGGTCCTCCTATTATCTCCCTACTCTAACAATCTATCTTCTCTGATATGTACTTTCTTGCCATCTCCCACATATCACTGTACTTGCTGATGAATAGCGTCCCCACCCGTTAAAATACTCTACTACTCCCATGATGGCCTTGATCCTTTCTCCGCTCGCCAAAAGTCCCTATTAGGAAAGTAAATTCCTTTGAGAACTTGACTCCATAAAGAAGGTTGGTTTTTGGAGGAGCCTCCACGCCTGTTTGCCTAACATTGCTTTGTTGAAAGCAATTAGGTCTTTGAATCCAAGCCCTCCCAAGTCTTTTGTTGTTTTGAGTAATTCCCATTTTTTCCAATGCAAACTCGATTTAGCCACTGAGCTTTTCCACCAAAAGGCTGCGATTTTCCGTTCCACTAACTTACAAATATACACTGGGAGTTAAAAATCGACATGGCGTATTGCGGAAATGCTTGAACCACCGATTTTATCAAGATTTCTTTATCGGCCTTGGAAATTATTGATTCATTCTACTATTCTATTTTAGAGTTCACTTGCCTTAATATCCAAGCGAACATCTCCTTCTTTGAGCCACCCCAACCTGATGGAATCCCCAAATATTTCCTTATCCTATCAATCATCGAAATCCTCAAGTTGCGTTTGATCGTCCGGATAAAAGTTGGGAATATCCTATCTTGTGTTTGGCGGGTGTTCAGGATATGATAAAGTCGGATATAGAGGGGATATAGCGCGGATAAAAAAATCCCAAGGGGGAGGTGGGATAGACCCAGATAAGATTTCTCTTGTCCAGCAATTTTTCACAGAACCCTATGCACTCTCTTCGTTCACACGCTCGACTCCTCTCATATCCAAGCTTCAAGAAAACAATTCACGAAAGCAGCGAGAGTCAAACTGTCTTCTTCTCCGTAGCTCTAATCCTACGAATTCAAGCTCCATCTCCGGCGAGTTCAAGCTTCAATCCGCAAAATCTTTGTTGCTGAATTTTGCTCTTCATTTTCCAGAAATTCAACAATCTTATCGCAGCTTTTTTCCTTCACCATTTAAACTCAAGCTTCGGAAGGAAAACATTTCTATTGTTTTATTTTCCGTTCTCCTAACTAGGAGGTAATTGATCTCTCAAGCTGCCATTTGTAGTCTCGGATTCGCTCATTAACCGGGTAAAATCGAATCTCATATACAACTCTGTTTTGAGGAAAATAGATGAGGTATTGTGTGTTTTTCGAGGATTGAATTCTGCTTCGTCTGAGTTTATTACTTCGATTGCAAACATCGTGTATTGATCTAGATAGAGTCAGGTTGTGAATCTGAGTTTGAATTACCCAGGTCTTGTTCTCTAACCAGGTGCACGTAATCTATTCGATGAAATGTCTATTAGGGTTTTCTTTCCCTCGATGCTTTGGTTTACTTTCTTCAAGTGATTTAAATACTGATTGTGTTATGTGACTAAATTGTAGTACAAACCAAGAGCATGTGGATATATTTTTGAACTTGAGGTGTTCAAAGTGTACATATCACAATCGTTTTGGTGTACGACATCTTGTGGGGAAAGGATGTGTTGCACATGTAGAAATATGATCATTATTGCTAAAATGCCGACGATGAATTTCTTCTACTATGGAAGGTGATAGTGAAAATTTTGGGGATTGTGAATTTGTGACTGCATCATAGTAGTAAACCTTATTAATCCATTGCTTCAAGAATACCAATTGTTCTTTTGGCTCTTTAATTAATTTCTGACACAAGTTTGAAAAAAAAAAATTACTGCTCTCATAAACATATCGACAAAAGGAAGTGCAACTTTTGTTATTTATGATGATAAGATCGATATTATTTCATGGAGACTACGTAGGAGCCTATATGTCCTTTACATTGATATCCAGTTTCTACCAAACAATAAATAGGATATGATATAAAAATATCCAACTTTAAATCCGCAGTTCACTAAATAATAGATAGGGTATAATAAAATCCCAGTATTTCTTATCCTATCCTGATTAGAAATCTGGATGACTAAATGCAGTCTCAACTCTCTAGCCAAGTTTTCCTTCAGCCTTAGAGGACAGTTCCTACTAAAAAAGATGCCAGACTTGTTTAGGTTAATAGCTTGTCCCATGGCCATACAATATTGATTTAGAATATTAGCCTAAGTTTTGACATTCCCGTAACTTCCCATTCAAGAAGAAAATAGAGTCATTCGGGAAAAATAGACAAGAAAGTGTAGGGCACCACCTGTTGAGCTGAATACCTCTAATATGTTCCATACCAATGACGTTCTTAATGAGTGTGGAGAGCACATTGGCCACCAAAATGAAGAGGTAAGGTGAGAGTGGGTCTCCCTATCTAAGACCCCTCGAAGGTTGAAAATACCTTGATGGTTCTCCATTGAATTTAACACCGAAGGAAATCGTAGTCACGCACTCCATAATCCAATGAACCCACCTTGCGTGAAACCCCACCTACATTGAAACTCCACTGGCAATTGACTTCATTTGATAGTGCAAGCCTCTAAAAAGTCTCATTCTACACGGTCGTAGGCTTTTTGCATATCTACCTTTAAAACAGCCTGAAATTTCCTCTTTCTCTTTCTAATTCTGAGATGGTGGAGCACCTTTTGCACAACTAGAATATTATCTTGAATTTGCCTCCCACTCACAAACACACTTTGCTCTGGTACAATAAGATTTGATAGCCAAGGCTTTAGTCGATTAGCAATCACCTTGGAGATAATCTTGTAGATAAAGTAACACAGGCTAATAGGACAGAACTGTTCAAGTGTTTTAGAATTGGGTGATTTGGGTATAAGGGAAATAATATTCCGATTTAAATCTAGTTCCATCCTCCTGGAAACGAAGAAGTCGTTTGTTGCATTGAAAATGTCTTCCTTTAAAATCGCCCAGTGGTGTTGGTAGAACAACCCATTGAGGCCATTCGAACAAGGAGCTTTGGAAGCCCCAAGTTGGAAAACCACTTCTTGTAACTCTTCCGTCGTTACCTCAGCCACTAAATAGTCATTCATATCCTTTGACACCACACGCGGACATTGTGATAACACTAGTCAGAAGTCTTGAGACCCAACTGATTGATATAATTTCTCAAAATACTCCACCGTCATCTCCTTCAATCTAGTTTGGGCCCTCAGCCAAGTACCATTTGAGCTTTGCAACATAGTTATTCTGTTTCTTTACTTACATTGGATAGTAGGTGCCTCCATTTAAGCCAATTGATTCTAGGCCTCATGCCCCAATATATTTCCTCCTGTATCCAAGCCTTTTTAATTTCCTTTTGGAGGTGGCAAACTTGCTCCCTATTAAAAAAACCACAAGAATTATTCATATGTTGCTAAATTTCCTGCTTCATGGTAATAATTTTCTAATGGCCATGGGAAAATCTTTTCCAGCTCCACTTAGTGAGTGCTAAAGACATACTCTTTAACTTTCTAGAGAGGTTAGTACTATTTAGACCCGAAGATGCACATGAATCAGAAATCACGGTACGACATTCCTCATCCTCCAACCAATACGTCTCAAATTTAAACTCCTTTTTTCAATTGACTCGCTCTACCTTGAAATTCAACAATAGTGGGCAATGGTCCGAACCTATGGTGGGTAATGCGTAAGCCTCAGCTTCTGGGAACATCAATCTCTAATCCATGGTGCATACCACCATATCCAATCTTTTCTTCATAAATTCCTCTCATTCTCTATTGTTAATCCATGTGAATGCTTAGCCCTTACTCTAAAATCCATCAAGGAACAATCATTTAGAAACTCGCGAAAAGAGTTCATTCTATAATATTCAACAGTCCTTTTCTCGGCCTTCTCCCAATGGTAGAGAACTTCATTGAAGTCTCCTACACATATCCATGGTAGGTTGTTAAATGAACTAATGTTTTTCAACGCTTCCCATAGTTGTAACTTGCTTTGATAACACATCGAAGCATATAGACAGGTAATTTGCATCTTTTTTCCACTCTCCACCTCATCGCAAATCATATAAATAAACTCCGGATTTTGTCTCACTATATTGCGGGACACCATATCATTCCAAAACAGCGCTAAACCCCCTGCTATTCCTATTGGACCCTTCACACAACAGAAGGGAAATTTGAACCTCTTTTGAATCTTCCGGACCACTCCCTCCTAATTTTTGGTTTCCATTAAGAACACTAAATTGGGCTTTTCCTAAGCCACGAGGGTTCTAAGAGCATGAATTGTTAGGTTATTTCCCAGACCTTAATAGTTCCAGTTTATGAGCGTCATTGTCACTTAGTGGTTTATTAAGGCTAGCCACCAAAGCCCATTTTCTAGACCCCTCCACTTCAATGACCGGGGTATCTAGCAGGTTAGTCTCATGTATCACGTCTTATGTGCTGGCTATTGGCCCATAGAGGAAAAATGTTGCCTTTTCTTCTTAGAAGAATAAGCCTTGAGTTCTAAAAGATCTTCAACCTTTTAGTCTTCGACAAACCCTTCTCCATACCCTAAGTTTCCTAGTTTGGAAGAAAACCAGCGGCCTCATGTGTCATTTTGTTATACAAGACCATCACTCCGTTTAGGTTTCGTTTACTCAAGATTCCTGGTGTTACATTCATCATAGCTGTATCTTTTATCTCCGCTACGCCTTTACCTTTGCAGCAGCTGTTTGGCTCAAAGGGGACTAGTTGGGTTGTTATCCTTAGTGTCTCCGGAGTAAATTCCTCCTCTTTATCTGTCCTCTCCTGTTTCTCATTAAAAGCTTTCCAAAACGGGCTGTATTCTGACACTTCAGCTCGAAGTCACTGACCATAAATTCTATCTTCTTTCCTTTCCAATTTATCTTCATTGAAAGGAAAATCTTTGCAATACATGGCGTAATAACCCATTCTTCCACACGAGTAACAAAAGTAGGATAACCTTTCATAACGAAAATCTAACCAGTTATTCTTCCCTTCCATTTTAATTAGCTTTCTAGTTTTAAGGGGTTCCAGAATATTAATATCCACTCTAGCTTTCCCAACTCGAAGTGAAGCCCTATCTTTAGATTCAACTTTAGCCTCAAGAACTCTCCCTAGATTTAGGATAGCTCTATGAATAGCCTCCTTCATACCCCTCTCCAAAGGAAGACCAAACACTTGAACCCAGAACGCACAAGTAGTGAAATCATAACAATTTAGGGGAGTATCAGGAGTCCGTGGTTTGAGAATAGCTAAATGATTTGAAAATAGCCAAGGACCATTCTCCAAGACCCTATTTTTCTCTCCCTCATTTCTGAATTTGAGCACAAATAGCCCTATTTCCCTTTGTGAAATTTCCACAGTATCAACACACCAAGTTTTTTTCATAGCGTTTTGGGAAGCTTGAAAGTTAAATGGATGGGTTAGACAGTATCTTACCCACCGGAATAATTTTACATTCGTTTACTTTTTCCTTTGGAGCTTCATCATCCCATGTCTCTATATCATCTTTTGACCATAGCCACCCCAATCTTTTGCAGAGGGAGGCCAGGCGAGCTGCTTCAACTCTTTTGTTGCCTTCCATTGTGCCACGGGCGAGCAGGTCCACTCCAAGGCAACGTAGGGTTCACCCGCTGGACATAAGAATAGGAACAGCTGTAGTAACCACCGAGCCTCTGGAGGAGAAGGCTGGGTTTGAACAAGATGGAGAGCAGATGAAAAAAACATGGGTATGACAGGGGAAAAAAAGAAGTAATGTAATGGTAATTTTAGGGTTTTAGATTAAAGAAAAGGGCAAGGAAAAAGCCAAAAGTTGAGATATTCAATGAGGTCAGTATATTCTTGTGGGTAGGGCCATGGAAATGGCTAAAAGGATTAGGTTGTTGTGTGAGATTATGGTGGGGAAAGTTCAGAGGGCAGAACCAAAGGGAATCGCTCACTTGGCCTCATTTTGGGGAGACTCCCAAACTTACACGCAAATGATGAAAAAGGATAGGGGAAATAAAGCTGTATAACACCCAAAAGGGTTAGGGAGAAGGAAACTAATGTGGAAGTAGAACAAATTGAGTGATTGTGCCTTTACAGTTCTTTGATTGTTTAGCGAATTTTTTGTGGTTAGCTTTTCTCATGAAGTAAGTACTGTCATTCGTACCGAACCACATAACTCTCTTATACTCTTAGTTATTTTTTTTTATTGATTTCTTTAATAATTTATTCTTCTCATGTTTGACTCATATTACAAAATTTGTTAGCGTCCATACTAATTGCACGTCATCCACTGCCCGTCTTTATCAACTGAAAAGTATAGCCACATCCAACTACCGTGACAAGGACAACTTCAAAGTGTGTAAACGAGCTTTGGCATCGAAGAATGCATATGCTAGAAGATCTTATCAACCCTTCTACATTTATTATACATCTCTCGAAACGATTAGACAAGTTATAGTTATCGAAATAGGGCAAAACGATTTTTACTAATCAACGAGTAGTAGTAACTCACGATGGGATCGATCCCACTAAGCTTTGGTAGTGAAGTTGAAGTTTGAACAGGTCGTCTGCCTGTAGAGCTAAGAACAGCTGAACCCAAGCGCTGACGAGTCTAGATCAAACTGCAACAAATGGTTCTCCAATTGATGCCCTCCAATCACTACTGGAGTCAAAGGATTCAACCCACCATCCACAGGGCCCAAGCAGAGCACACCCTCCTTCACTTGCACCATCGAATTAGCCCCAAATATCCTCCAATACCAAATCCTCTCCCTATCCGTACTTGGGAACACCAAATCGATCGTTGGCACGGCCGGCCCAGCCCTTGTGCTCAAGATGTTCCTCGAGTCAAAACATGACTCAAAAGGCTTAATCGGCGCCACCCTCAGGACTTGTGAAAGTTCCTTAGTGAAAGCCCCTACCACGGCCCTGTAGATTGAGGTCTCCAACACGGTGTACGGGTCCGCGGTGCTGATTTTGGTGCCCCCGTAGCCTTCTTTGTCAATGACCAGGCGGGACGAGTTCAACGGAACCGGGTTCCGGTTGACTTTGATGGACTTGAGTTCGATGTGGTAATCCAATGAGGGATTGGCCACGTGACCTGGCACGTTGCTCACAGGGGTAGTGATCAGGGAAGTGTAGGAGAGGGACTCGGAGACATCGATCCCAAGGAGCATCATATAGGGCCCATCACCAAAGAAGGCCACTCCACTGGAGCTTGAGGATGGGCTCAAGCAAATGGCAAACTTCCAGGCAAAGCTGAAGGAGGCTGAGAATTGGGAGGGAAGTGAAGTCCGGGTCCTCCCTAGCCCTGCCATCCCTTTGACCCCATTGGCTAGGCCCTCCAGGAGGAAACTGTAGCTGCAGGAGAACACGAACCCGAGCACTGAGACAGCCCGTCCTGCCCTTGACCCATCGGTGGATCGGGCTGACACGACGTCCCGAGCCAGCTCAGCATTGGTGATGAAGTGGATCACGGTGTTATCTGCGGTGAGCGAGCATGTGTTGTTGTTGCACCCGGGCTGGGCCCTAGAGAGGCAGGTGCTGCAGGACTTGAAGGGTGGCCCGGGGGCTTGCGAGCACTCGGCTGAGCGGCAGTGGACCGGGTTGTAGGTGGATGATGAGAAGCCCTGGTCGCAGTCAACCCAGAGGAACTCGCCGCCAAGGTCGAGGGTCAATTTGACCGGGACTAGGGGGGTTCTTTGGTGGAGGGCGGTGAGGTACTGGAGAGTCGAGGAGTCCTTGGTGACCGGGAGGACGAGGGCTTTGGCCTGAAAGAGGCTTGGGAAGTGATGGGGAATGTGATTGATAGGATTGAGCAAAGCATGAGCAACGAGAAAGACTTAGAAGCCATGATAACCGAGAAATGCATGGGGAGGATACGTGACCGTGTCCTTTTAATAGCGTCCAAGCCTCTGAAATTTCCATAATTGGCATTGAATGGGCGTCGGACACCAATAGCGTGTTGATGAGAGAAGATGGCCATGTTTTCTGGGCCTTCTGACTTTACTTTCCACAGCTTGTAGGGAGTGCGCGCACCGTGGGACTCTTCTTCCTATCCTTTATCCTCTCGAGTGGCGAACTGGGGCTTTGCGCTGACTGATAAAAGAACATTGCTAAACAATGATTTTTACCATCCTAGATGACCATGCAACTTTTTAGAAAAGAAAAAGAGTTAAAATTAGGGAAGAGCAAAATGGATCGCCCGAATCGGATTGGACCGGTTGGTTTTGAGCAATTCCCAGGGATATCGCCCACCCAGATTGGACCAAAGTTTTTTAAAATTTTAAAATTTTTGTATTTCTTAAACATTGTAAAAAAAACTTTAATCAATCTCCCATTGCAGACTTCATTCATGCACGCAGACGCGCACGAGTCATACAACTCCCATTTCACTCACGCATGCAGACACCCTAATCGTTCACACTTTCACACCTCTTTCACAAACCGTAATTGCTTTTTCCCTCTTACACTCGCCCGATTCTCGGTCATTGTCTTGCTCAACTCTCAATCATGACTCTCTCTGACACTCTCTCGCTTGATTCTCAGATGCTACATTCTCGCTTGAATCGCATCCCTCTCGCTCGAGCTTGACGTCTCCCCCTCGCTCGAGCTTGACATTTCCATCTCGCGGGTCTCATCTCGAGTCTCGAGTCTCACCTCTTGCCTCCCTCTCTTGCTCTTATTTTGGCCGATCGTGATCGCAATCACATCTCGTTGAGGTAAATATCCAATACTCTATTTTTTTTTTTGTTGTTCTTTGTACACCATTTTTTATGCTGTGTCTAGATCTCATTTTCAAATTGATCAGTGCCAAACCCTCGCCTCGATGACCATGTTTGCGAACTAAATGCAAAGTCATGGTCTATCTTCCCACTAATGTTTTGGCAAGCAAAGAGAAATTTTAAAATAGATGCGTCATCATTCAAAAATTCATAAGGAAAAAAGTTGAATGAAATCTATGGTTGAAGGGACTAGAAGTTTGTGGGATGGTAGCATAGAATCCTGCAATGGATTATGGACTATATGCTTTAAAAAAACAAAAGAACATGCAACCGGTTCCATTGGCCTGCTCAGAAACTGAACCGGATCGGTCGGTCCGATCCAGTCTAGCTCTAGGACTAGGTGGGCCAATTCCCAGTTCCTAGGTGGGAACCAGCCACCTGGGAATTGATCACCCGTAGTTAAAATTAAGGCCTTCTTCATCAAGAAAATTGTTGACATATTTACTTTATATTAAACAAAGACAACTTCAGTGACTTTTTGTATTGTATATGCACCAGGAAAAGAACTATTCCATTGCACAGATACCATCAAATAAGTACAATAACAAAATAGAAAGCTCAAGCTCTATGATATGTTTTACTGCTGCTTATCATTTACATATTAGGTTAATAAACTTTAGCGGCAAAGCAAAAAGTTGCGTTTTGCTTTTGAAAAAACGTAAATAATGTGTTCTACTGCTTCTTACCTCCAAGTATTCATTTGAAACTTGATTAAACCTGTCTTGTTACATCCCATACAAGTACTTTCGTGTCAATGAGCCGTGTATATTTGCATGTGATACAAAGTTTTCGCAAGATTTTTCGGCGTGTTGTTTCTAATGTTTTGTCATTCCTGATATATCGATGGGCAAATCTGGCAGGTTCTCAATTTGTCAGTAATAGATCTGGAGCGTCTTCGACCTGCGCATCCCAAAGAAAGTCCCCTGGCTGTGGACCATTCAAAACTCTCATGCGCTTGAGTTAGTACGAAACTGGAGATGAGGAGAGAGTGTAGTATAGAGTACGAGAAGGACAGGTCTCCTTAGCATCAAACTCTCAGATGTCTTTTCTTGTTCTGCCTATTGATCTACCAGTTTGGTTTAAATGAACTCACTTTGTGAGCAACACCAGGTCGACCAAGAAGAAAAATCTCACAAAACTTTCCAGATGTTGCTAAAACCAATCTCTTTGAATTCATCAGAAGCTGTCAGGCTTGATGAACTTTCAATCTTATTGCCCAGACTACCTCAACGTAGGGGTATGGCGTTAGCGCAATGCAGTCAACCAAGTTGCGCACGCCATATTCGAAGAGACTTGGTCACAAATTCTTAGCACACGAAGTGTCTTGGGGAATTCTCGTGGTGGGCAGGCCAAAGTGAAAATTTAAATGCAGAATTATACCCTTAGGAAGCCGCTGAGCATGATAGCCTAGTGGTTAAGGGTGACACTATTTTCCATGAGATCACAAATTTGAATTATACCTTTAGCAATCGTGATTGGGCATTTACTACTTCAAATGCTCTAATATCGCCCAAATGTTACTTCAAGCACACGATCCAAACAACAAAATAATGAAGCGTAAAAAAACAAGTGAAGGAAAAACCCTCTCTCCCCACTCATCGTTTCTCTCTCTCGGGTCCAAGCACGGACGCCATCCCACCGCCATCACTGCCGTCCCACCCTGCCACTATGTCCACACCTTCGTCGGAGCTTGTTGATGATGTATCCACTGTTAAATTATGTCTCCAGCCTGTGTTACCCGACCCAAATCAGTCCCAACACACTTTCCTATTTGGATTCAAATTCTTCTTGAAGGCCACATTCACCTGACAACATACATATATATGTTGAGAGATGGATTTTTGGTATTTTATGCCTCTTTTAGCTGCACAAGAGAAGCTCTCTGAACCCCGTGATTTGTGCAGCGAATCTAATTGATGTCGTTTTCTTTGTGAAGACATGAGTCTTTCAAACAATGAGGTAATTCTCTGTGGTTTATTTTATCAAGCAATTACATGGGACTAAACACTGTGAATTTGGTTAGCTAGGAAACACTTTGAGTAATTGAGCGATTGT